ACATAGCATTACTCGATATTCCAACCGACCTGGTTGAAATTATTTACTGACTGTGAAGAGTTGCATTGTTTTGCAGCTATATCCTTTGGTTATTTTACAAGAACTGGTAACTTATGGATTTTTCTGGACATTTGGCAAGTTCACACAAAGGGTGATCGTGAATGGATAAGAAAACATGGGTGAAAAAACAGCTGCAGGTATCCCTAAGGGAAAAGATATTACACTTCACTGAGTGCCCACTCTGAAATTGGTTCTGTGTTTGAGAGTGCTTTGGCAAATGGTCAGCACCAGATACGAAAGCTTTCACCTTCCCACATGTTTGGTGTCTTTTCCCTAGGATGGGGGATTTCAAGACTAAGGGGCACATTTTTAGGGTGAAAGGCGAGAGATTTAAAAAAGACATGAGGCAAACTTTTTACACAGAAGGTGGTTTGCATGTGGAATGAACTTTCTGAGGAAGTGGTGAATGTGGGTACAATTACAATGCCTAAAAGACATTTGGATGAGTACCTGAATAGGAAAGGTTTGGAGGGATATGGGCCAGGAGCAAGCAGATGGGACTAGTTTAGTTTGGGATTATGTTCAACATAGACTGGTTGGACTGAAGAGTCTGTTTCCGTGCTGTATGACTCTATGACTCTGTGTCACTTAAAGGTTTTGGAGTAGATCTGTAGCTCGGGTTGTGGGTTTTGAGGTTGGTTGGCTCGCCGAGCTGGTTTGTTGTTCTGCAGACGTTTTGTTACCATGCTTGGTAACATCCTCAGTGCAGCCTCCGATGAAGCATCAGTGTGTTTTCCCAAATGGTTTTTAAACTCTGGGGTCCATTGCGATGGATTGCCTCATTTCCGGGTTTCCTCCGTAGTGGAATGTATATGGGATCGAGTTCAATGTGTTCATTAATAGCTTGCTTCGTGGAGAGCATGCTTCCAGGAATTCTCGTGCTTGTCTCTGCCTAGCCTGTCCCAGGATCTTGGTGTTGTCCCAGTCGAAGTCGTGGTTCTCCTTGTCCATGTGGATTGAGATGAGTGAGTATTGGTCGTGTCTTTTTGTAGCCAGTTGGTGTTCATGTACTCTTGTTGTTAGTTTCCTTCCTGTTTGTCCGATGTAGTGTATCTCGCAGTCTCTGCAGGGGATCTTGTAGATGGCATTGGTCCTGTCCATGGCGGGGAGTCGGTCTTTAGTTCAGGTGAGCACTTGTCATAGGGTTGATGTGAGCTTGTGTGCCACTCTGATGCCCAGCGGTCGTAGAGGACAACAACACACTGCAGCAACATAGAACTACGCCACGAGGAGGAGGAATACCTCTTTCAAGTGTTCAAGGATAATGGATTTCCAAAGAACTGGGTCAGGAGATGCCTACGGGAACAGCATCAGAAAGATTCTACACGCCCTGACACACTCATCACACTACCCTACATCAGGAACACGTCAGAACTCACCACAAGACTTCTACGACCGCTGGGCATCAGAGTGGCACACAAGACCACATCAACCCTACGACAAGTGCTCACCTGAACTAAAGACCCACTCCCCGCCATGGACAGGACCAATGTCATCTACAAGATCCCCTGCAGAGACTGCGAGAAACACTACATCGGACAAACAGGAAGGAAACTAACAACAAGGGTACATTAACACCAACTGGCTACAAAAAGACACGACCAATACTCACTCATCTCAATCCACATGGACAAGGAGAACCATGACTTCGACTGGGACAACACCAAGATCCTGGGACAGGCTAGGCAGAGACAAGCACGAGAATTCCTGGAAGCATGGCACCCCACGAAGCATACTATTAATAAACACATTGAACTCGACCCCGTATACATTCCAATACAGAGGAAACCCGGAAATGAGGCAATCCATCGCAATGGACCCCAGAGTTTAAAAACCATTTGGGAAAACACACCGATGCTTCATCGGAGGCTGCACTGAGGATGTTACCAAGCACGGTAACGAAACGTCTGCGGAACAACAAACCAGCTCGGCGAGCCAACTAATCTATGTCACTTTCTGAATATTCAGTTTTGGGTATGTTTTAATCAACCTGTTCAGGGATGTTATGACACGTCTCTGGAGCAGGTGAGACTTGAAGCTGGGCATTAAATATTTTCAAATCAGCTTGGTCATAGACCTTTCTATGCACCTTAAGAACAGGCAGCTTTCGACTGTGTGCAAACTGCCTGACAATGAGGATTCTTGTATACTGTCAAAAATTATCATGGAATTATTTTTGACTATAACTAACATCATCTTTGGAGTATTGTTAAGCCTATTTAATGTTAGAATTCAGTGATTTGTAAATTTGAAGTCTTGTTTAGAGCTAATTTAGATCAGGAACACTTTCCTGAAAACCCTTATCTGCTGATCTCAAACCAGTCAATCCTATAAACTTTCAGTCTTGGGTCTGTAGGATTCACACAGAAAGTGGGATGGCCTGTTCTCAGACCAATTCATCTAGCCCCTTCCCAGATGTAAAGAGCAGACAGTATTGTGAAGAGGACTGCTCAGTCACAGTTGCTGCTACCCAAAGACACCTCTGTCCCTACACACATGGCCAACAACCTTTATGCACTTCTAACCTGTCTGCGGATTCTTGACTGGGGATTCCCAGATTCACATCTCTATATCCATCACTGCACCACTTGACCAAAAGACCCTGGAGAAAGCCTGCATGGGACTTCTGTTTTTTGTGAGGGGCTTGGGTAGCCATCCCTGTCCCCATGATTTTGACGGTTGGCCATTTTACTATTACGAGGGGGCATAATATTAAGATGATTGGAGGAAGGTATAGGAGGGATGTCAGAGGTAGGTTCTTCACCCAGAGAGTGGTGGGTGTGTGCAATACACTGCCATCAGTGGTCGTGGAGTCTGACACTTTAGGGACATTTAAGCGACTCTTGGATAGGCACGTGAAGGTATGCAGGGTAGATTGATCTTAGTAGCGTAGTAGGTCAGCACAACATCATGGGCCGAAAGGCCTGTACTGTGCTGTACTGTTCTATGCTCTATGTTCTATTTTGTTCAACATCTCATCACATAGGTGCTCCTATCTGCTTAGTGCAAAAGTAACATTGTATTTACCAGAGCTGCCTTGCCATTGTACCTTCTAACTGTGCATCAGGTGAAACACCTTTGCCTGTTCTGCTGTTGAGAACTATTTAGACCACACTTTGCCTGACAACTCCCTCCCAACCTTGCCACCAAGGGCGGCCCTGCCAGAAGCCCCCTTTGACATCACTGAAGGGATTGTTGGAGCACACATGACTCTCTGCCTTATCCTGGTGCTGATCCATGGAGGGATCCAGCGTACAGCTGTCTCTAAAAGTATGGATATTTCAAGAAAGTTGCTCTTTGTTATTTCTACACCAGATTGACATTGGGATAATTCATCTGATGAATAATTCACAACTTCTCTACCAAATAATTACTCATCAGTAATCTTGAAATCAATAGACAGCTAATTCTGCTTAAATTCCTGTATACAATTCAAAAACATGTTTTAATGACAGTATCTGAGAGATAGGGGACACAGTGCCTGAAGTTTTGTTGATGGCATTAATTGTGGATCTTAAATTGATACACTGAGACAGTAACTAAGATGAATGATCAGTTCATCTATTTAACAGTGCATTTGAAAGATTATTGTTGGCCAGGGCACAGTGTAAACTCCCTTATACTTCTTCATTTCCTACCAATGATCCTTTACATTCATGGATAAATAAAGTCCACATAGATGGCCCTATCTGTTTGGTGGAAAGGATAACATAGCATTCACTGTGCAACTGCCTTTGTATTTGGCTACAATGAGTTGACTGCTGTTTGTGAAGAGTTAACCATGTTTGTCACTGAACCATGTCACGTTCTTCAAACTGGCCCAGCACACAGTAGCAAATTTATTGCTGGACATCTTACACTGACCATCAAAAGAATGAATCTTTATTATGTGGGTGAAATTCCAGCACTGAATTACGGCCGTGTTTATTACATAGCTTTTGCATTCAGTGAAGCGTATCTCCTTCAACAGCTGCACTAGGAGGCAGAATTGGTTTATGAGCAGTTCAGGGACAATTAGCAGTACAAGATGTCCCAGTCTCAGCCAGCCCATTCTATCTTTCTGCAAGGGCTACTGGAGCTCTGTGTGTCACTGTTGTTTTATATTTAACACTGGACCATGATGGCAATTTTTGTGTTGTTTGATCTGGTGTTGTCTAATGTTGAGTGTCTGAGAAACTTCTTATCACTCAGAGAGTGGTACATTATATGGAACGTGCTGCCTGAGCGGGTGGTGGGGGCAGATATTCTTGCAATTTAAGAAGCATCTGGATGAGCAGTTAAAATACCAGGGCATAGGAGGCTATGGACCAACTGCTGGTAAACAGGATTAGTGTAGTTTGGTGTTTGTTGGTCAGCATAGATATGGTGAGCCGAAGGGCCTGTTTCTGTGCTGTTTGACTCTATATTTAGCATGGTGACAGCAGGAGCTGTCACGCTTGGATACCACCAGTGAGAAGATTTGCTTGTTACAAACAATCCATTGGAAATCACAGAAAAACCAGGGCCATAAATGTAAGATCGCCACTATTAACTCCAGCTAGGAGTTTAGATACTTTAGCTTGAGACACTTTTATCCAGAGTGTGGTTTGAATGTAAAACTCACTACCACATGGATGAGAATAGCATAGATGAGCAAATGAGGGAGGGCAACAGAAGGTCATACTGAATGGGTTGGCTGAAGAGGGGAGAGTGGAGTATAAACACCAGTATAAAACAGATGGGCTGAATGGCCTGAGTCTGTAGTAAACAGTGTTTATTCTATGTAAGGCAAGAGGTAGATACGAGTAAGTGAAAATGCCATAAATCTTGAGTATTCCAGTGTTCACAGACCAACACAAATCACACCAAAGTGGTTGTCATGAGATTGTTTTAATTCCATTACAAAAACATGCGATTAGGAGACAGTATTTACAATTTATAAAGAAACATATTTAGCTCTCTGCCTGCATTACACTTATAAATATGATTTACATAATAAAAATAAATATGTAAAATTACCAAATTAGCACAGGTTTTAGTTTGTTAAAAAATACACAGCATTATAGTTTGCATCAGTTTTGACTGTAGCATATCCTGCTTGAATCCCACTGTCCGGTTTTACATTGTTAACTGAAAGGAAAAGGAATCCATTTCACCGTGTTTTGACTTCTTGTTCTATGATCCAATCTATGAAGACTGTCAGTCGCTTAGAAAGACCTGGGGTCTCTCCTCCCTTTATGTTTCATTGATCAATCCAGTGCTTTCCACCACTTTGTATTTTATTTGTGTCCTTGCAGGTTTTGATTTGAGAGATTGTTGAGGTCCAGTTAGAAAAGCCTGCCTGCTCCTCCACTACATGTGGGACAGTTTGTCTTTTGTAAAACGCATTTCACGTCTCATCAGTCCCGATGAGCAGGTATTTTAGCTCCCACTGCTCAGCATCCCAAGTAGTTTGCTAACCTCTATTCCTTGCTGCTGGGCCATCTTCTGTATATCGAAACCCATGTGCATTAGGAATTGTATGACAGTCATCTCCTGCCCTGTGTACTGGTCTCTGATGGTGGGACAGGTAGGGTTACAGTGAGGCCAGTGGCAACCATCAGTCAGGTGGATCAGACAGCCCTTCATTGAACTCTTGCCATTTCTGTTACCATCTTGGAGGCTGCGATCCCAACAGTGCAGTGCCCGAGGTAAGGAGATCCCTTTCACTTGAAGATTCAACCAGTAACTGGGAATGAAACATAAAAAGTAAATAACTATGCTCGTGGAGGTGATGACCCTTATCGTGTTATCATTAAACCATTAACCTACAGACCCAATGTTCTGTGAACCCACCTTCAAATCCTGCCATGGTATAGCGAAATTTGATTTTAATAAAAATCTGGAATTTAATGTTGGCCGTGAAACCATTGTCAATTGTTGGGAAAGACCCATGTGGTTCACTAATGTCCTTTAGGGAAGGAAACTGTCATCCTTACTTAGTCTGACCTACATGTGAGTCCTGACCCACAGCAATGTGGCCTCTGGGCAAGAAATGCTGGTCCAGCCAGTGATGCCCACATCTCATGAAATTAAGAAAGGAACAGGAATCTATCTCCTATCTGCAATTCCAAACAATACCACTTCCATTCACCCTTCCATTACCTTTGTATTTATCAATGCAGAGCGCCCTACTCCTCTTCTCCTCACAGGTACAAATATATGATCTTCCTGACTATAAAATCAGACTTGGAGTTACAGGTGGGATTATTATACTGAGTAACAGTGCTTTCGGCAGAACTGGCCACTGATGGGTATTTATGTTTCATGTGGCTGTCCTCCCAAATCAATGCATTCTCAGCCTGTCATTCCTTTACCTTTCATCTAGTCTCCACTTCTATTATTGTTTGTTACTGACAAAAAGCCCTTCCTCCCAGATCATAAAATGATGAACACCGCTCCTTCACTCAAGTCTTTCTCCTGCAATCTGCAAACTTGGTATGGCACTTAACCATGGTTTCCTGGATTTTCTAAATTCAGCAGATAGCATTTTCAATGTTGGTATTATCTTTTACTATAAGACTGGCTGTTCTTTCAGATTTGTCATTTTGCTTTCAAAATTAATGGTATAAAAGTGTGTTTGGGATCTACCATACTTCCCATATTACGAAAAGGATTCTTTGTCCCATTTTTGAATCAGCACAGCTCAGTTGGTAACACTGTCAGATTATCATATTAAATTTATCATTTATTAAGTTTACACACTGCTGCCTACACACTGGTTGTTACATTACCTACACAATAACAGTACTGCATTTCAAAAAGGGAGGCACGTTGGGATATTCGACAGATATGAACCAATGCAAGTATACTGATTTGAAAAGAGTCATTTTCCTATGGGTGAGTGATTTTTTTTAAAGAAACCTCCTGTTGGCAATGTTCAAACGCAGTGCTGGTTATGGGACACCATTGTGGTCCAGCTGCTAAACTGGACTGTTACTTTAAGACCAAGCCAATCATTAATTATTGTCAGCTATTAACCGTGAAACCATTCAAAAAGATAGTTGAACTATTTTGACATTTCAGACTCAAAAACTGAAGTTTCTTTAAGTTGATCATTTTACAATTAGAACTAAGAGTGAGAGCTGGAGTGTGAGAGCTGGAGTGTGAGAGTTGGAGTGTGAGGGAGGAGCGTGAGGTCTGGAGTGTGGATGTCACACAATAATTTTAAGTACCTGGACTATTTCTTCGGAAAATGTTCCCCTGTATTAGCTATCCCTTGCCTCGAATGAAATACCCCATGTTGATGCACCATTCGCAAAGTCACTAGATAGTAATCAGAACTTGTAGATCTTCCCTAGACTAGCATCACAAAGCACGTTTACTACTTTTATTTCATAGAATCATAAAAGTAAAATTATACAGAGCAGAAGATGCCATTTGGCCCATCGAACCTGCATCGACAAAAAACTGCTGTAAATCTACATTAATCCCTGTTTCACAAGGAGGAGGGAAACCGAATCAGTTTTATCTAGGTTCCAGACACACTGAGACATCTCAAACTGTTTCACACAAGAACTCATAGCTTTTAAAGTTTAGTTACTGTTGTTAACTGAAAGAATGTAAGACCAGTGAAAGAATTAAATCTCACCCAGGGTGCTTGAGTCACATTTGTAAATTTCTCCCCTCACGTCTAATGACTATCCACCTCTAATTCCTTTGGGAGATGTCTTTATGTTAAAGATACTGCAAAAATTAAAGTAATTGTTGCTGCAGTACAATGGATTAGTTCTGAACTAAACATTTCAGTGTTACTGCTCAACAAATCCTAAGTAAGAGAAGCGTAGTACATAGGAGGGTAGGATATAACAGACCTGCAGGGGCTTAAGGACAGGTGAAGGATTGGTGACATTGGAAATTAAAGTTTCAGCTGGAACTCCAGATGGAATAATGTTCAAATGAAGTCAAGAGCAAGGGCAAATAGCTAGGACCAAGATTCAGCAATTTCAGTTAAAAAAGAAAACTACGTGGGATCAGTGACCTTTTCTCTTTTGTGCAATGTTTATATCTTACCTTTTTGTGATCACTTCATGAGACAAGCACGCAGGTGCAAAAACAGCCCTAAAACCAACAAAAAAAAGAAATTTCAAACTATTACATTGAAGCATAAAATTCATGTACTATTCACATTGTCCAAACTTCTAGTTTTGCTGTCAATGAAATACACAAATTTATTTTAATCGAACCCTAGTTTCTGCTTTTCTTTAATTGTCCTTATTTTGACTTTCTACAGGAGTTGCTATGATGTGGAATGCACTGCCTAAAAGGAAGGTAAGAGATTGAATTGTAGATTTCAAAAGAATAGAGATTAGGGAAGAGAAAAATATTGTATGGTTATGGGAAATGAACAGGGGAGTGAGACAAATTAGAGAGCTCTTTCAAAGGCATGATAGGCTGGATGATTCTAGGAATATCACAGCTTTTGGATGATTTACCGTGACCAATCATTTAAAGTAAAACAAATAATTAAAATGATAATACTGCATAAATATGCTGGATTAATGCTAGTATTTCATTGATGTGCATTAACCTTATTCACAGTCATAGAGATGTACAGCACAGAAACGGACCCTTTAGTCCAACCAATCCATGCCGATCAGAGATCCTAAATTAATCTAGTCACGTTTGCTAGCATTTAGCCCATATCCCTCTAACCCTTCCTATTCGTATACTCAACCAGATCATCATACATTGAAGTTGAAATAGTTCACGCTTTTGAAGTTAGGAATATAGTAAGTGCATGCCTGGATGCAGATTGCAGACCTTTTGCATAGATGTAAATTTAAATCAGAGTACAACTGAGAAATGCAGTTCAGAACCCTAAAGATCAACTGTCTAGAATTACCTCCAGTCATCAAAGTCATTTACAGCCCAGAGAGAGACTGGTGGCCCATTGCATCTGTACCATCTCTCTGTAGAGCAAATCCACAGATTTGTAGATTTTGGAGGTAATGCCTTGGTGGTATTATCGTTGGACTGTTAAACCAGAGAGCCAGCTAATGTTCAGGCGACCTGGGTTTGAATCCTGCCACAGCAGATGGTAGGATTTGAATTCTTTTGAAAAATGATCTGGAATTCAGAATCTAATGAAGATCATGAATTGATTGTTGGAAAAACACATCTGGTTCACTAATGCTCTTCAGGGAAGGAAACTGCCATCCTTACCTGGTCAGGCCTACATCTACATCACTCCAGCAATGTGGTTGACTCTCACTTTGGGCAATTAGGGATAGGCAATAAACGTTGATCTAGCCAGCAACATCCACATCCCATGAATTAATAAAAAAATCACATAATCCAGTTCTCCATCCTGGTAGCCCTGCAAATTTATTTCCTTCAAGTACCCATCCAATCTCATTTTGAAATCATTGATTGCCTGTTCTTCCAACCCCCCTCATCCAGGGAGATTTCCAGATCATTGACACACACTGGGACACAAAGTCTTCCTCACACCTCCATCAAATCCCCCTTCGATCTCCCTTGCCCCAATAAGAACAACTCAGTTTCTCCAAACTAATCTTTTAATTAAAATCACTTTTCCACAAAACCATGCTGGTATATCTATCTGCCTCCTCTAAAGCATGCTCACACCCTTCCTAAAGTGTGCAATGAACAGAACTGGAGGCAGCACTCCACTTGTGGTTTAATCAGCTCAACCTTGTTGTATTTTTCTGTTGAATATCTCTATTTATGAGGCCTGAGATGCCATAATCCTCCCCAAGCACTCTCTCAATTTGGTCTCCTGCCTTCAACCATCTAGACACATGAACCCTGTCTTGTGTAGTCTTAATAAGACTGTGCCATTCCAACCTTTCCAGACACTTCTTCCAGATATAAGCAAGTCTTCAGCTGGAGACTGTTCTATTTAGGATGTAAAGTGAGGACCTCCCTGGTTAGACAGGCAGCTCCCCCAGGCACACACCCTTTGTGTGGGAGGCAGGCAAAAGCTTCAGCTCCCTCTCCCGCTGCTGAAACTTGGGACGGATGTTAAACAGAGCCAAAATGGGGATTTAACAAGGTCACAGAGCTGACAAAACTTACGGTACATCCTTAAGAGTATTTTTCAGCTCTCTTCCCAGGTTTTGGATGTAGTTCCACTGTCCTTCTTGAACTGGTTGCCCCGTGAGATGCACATTATCCACTGTAAGTTGTGCTTCATCAAAGAGCCACTGGACCACAAACAATGGGCCTTTGAAAGAAACAGAACAAAGTCAGATTTCCTGTGACTTTTCTCCATAAAACATTGTTTCAGAAATATCTTAGGTCCCTATGAAGGCCTGTGGATTAGGATTTGCTTGAATAAAATCTGAATATTCCAGTCAAGTGGAAGAATCGTAAATCTATTCCTTATTGGAACTCCAATTACAGAGTGATCTGCTTTCCTATAAAATGGAAGGAGACTATTGAGCCAATCATACCTGTGCTGAAACTCTGAAGGTGATAGTTCATCAGCCAGCCCTATATTCTTACTCCATTGTCTTTAAGACTTTTCCTTTCAAGTAGTTAACTCATTTTTTCTCAAAAGTTACTTCTTAATTTGCTTCAAGCAGTGTGTTCTGCATCAGATCCAAATATTTTACATAAAACAAATTCTCTCCATCTGCACAACTGACCCTTTTGCCAATTATCTTTAATGTGTATTCACTGCGAATTTACCATTGAGAAATCTGAAGGCGATTTTCTTTATTTGTGCATAGGATATGGGTCTTGCTGTCTGGGTCAGCATTTATTTCTCATCTCTAATTGCCCTGGAAAAAGCAATGGTGATTTCTTGAACTGCTGCAGTCCTGAAGAGCATTGGAACACCAACAGAGCTGTTAGGGAGGAAGTTCCAAGATTTTGATCCAGCAACAATGAAGGAACAGTGATTATTTCCAAGTCAGGATGGTGACAGATTTGAAGGGGAACTTGCAAGTGGCAGTGTTCCCAAGTCTCTTGTGCCCTTATCCTTCTATGTCGTAGAGGCCATGGATTTTGAAAGTGAGCTGCTGCAGTGCATCTTGTCAATGATACACATTGTTAGTGCTGTGTAGTGGTGTTGAAAGGAGTGAATGTTGAGGGTGATGGATGGGTGTCAACCAAGCAGGCTGCTGTGTCCTGGATGGTGACGACCTTCATGAGTGTTGTTGGAGCTGCACCCATCCACACAGGCAGGGAGTAATAAATCACACTCCTGACTTGGGCCTTGTAGGTGGTGGACAGGTTTTGGGGGAGACAGGGGGTGAGTTACTCACTGCTGAATTCCTGGCCTCTGACCTGTTCTCGTCGGCAGAGTATTTTTATGATTAGTCCACTTCAGTTTCTGGTCAATGGTAACACCCAGGATATTAATAAGTGGGAGATTCAGCGATGGTAATGCCATCGAATATCAAAGGGCGAATCTCTCTTATTGAAGATGGTCATAGCCTGGCTTTGTGTGGTGCGAATGTTACTTGCCACCTGTCAGCCCAAACCTGGATAGTGGCCAGGTCTTAATAAATTTGCTCACAGCCTTCTTCAGTATCTGAAGAGTTGTGAATGGTGCTGAACATTGCACAATTATCAGCAAACATCCCCACTTCTGACCTTAAGATGGAGGGAAGGTCATTGATGGTTGGGCTGAAGATGGTTGGGCCAAGAACACTACCCTGAGGAACTCCTGCAGAGATCTCCTGGAGCTGAGATGACAGAGTTGGGTAACTCCAGATAATGTGAGCATGCCTTATAGATCAGATAGGCTTTGATATTGTTAATTTTTAAAAAATATCTTACTTCTTAAAGTTGGATATATTTTATATCCAAAGAAGCAGTTCCACTCTTCTCCTTCTCTGAATTGCTGCTTGCAAAGTTCGGGTACAACTCCATTCCAGTATCTGAAAACATGAAAGAGGTTTTAATCATTTCACACCATCCCTCAAAGACCAAATATTCAGGTCCAATACATAGGGAAGAGGGAGGACCTGCTCTGACTAAGTGGAGGCGTCTGTGTGAAAATTGGACAAAGAGAATTTGCAACTCACAAGCAATGAAGCATCTCAGGAAAACGAAAGAACCATCTCCTACTGGTTCTCAAATGCTCTTAGTAGAATATCTGAACAGGAGCAGGCCATTCAGCCCCTCCAACACCTTCAATATAAGCTATCATTCAAAAGAGATCTCAGCTAACTCTAACACTAACTCCATTCTACTAGCTGTGGCTGCACATCTTAATCCCTTAAAGCTCCCTTCTATTCTTAATTTGGTACAGTTACAATTCTCCTGGTTTCTTTTTAGTTAGATGACATGAAATGTATCAGTAGAAAGCAGCTCTCTTTCTGCCCGTTAAAGTCTGTAATTTAAAAATGAGTGGCTAAGATACTTTGGATAAGAACACAAGAAGTGGGTCCCTCTGCCAATCAGTAAGATTGTGGCTGATCTGATTGTGTACTTAATTCCATTTCCTGTCTGTCTTCCATGACCTTCAACACTCTAGAACAAACATTTATTAAATTCAGCTTTGAATATATTCAACACTCTATCCTCCACTGTTCTCTGAGGGAAGAGAATTCCACAGACTAACAAATCGCTGACAGATAAAGAATCCTCTTTGTCTCAGTGTTAAATTTGTAACTTGTGTCCCCTAGTTCTAGACTCTGTCAGAAGAGGAAATATCCTCTCAGCATCCACCCACCACTCCTTTCAGGATCTCAGATGTTCTAATATGTTCAACTTGTCGGTCTTCTCAATCCCGATCAATGAGCATAGCCCCAACCTGTTCAACCTCTCCTCATTAAATAATCCCCCAATCCCAGAAATGAATGAACCTTCTCTGAAATGCTTTGAATGTGGAACATCCTTTCTTCAAAACCTTTCCAGAGGAGAACAGCTTTCAAGGTGATGGAAACAGTTAAGTACATGGAAGTTCCTTTTGGTACAAGAACATGGTGCACCTTAATGAAAGTCCACTCAGGGTGCTTTCTTGAGACACCATCCCATGATCTATCAATGCAGGGTACCTCCTGTAATAGTTAGAATATCTAAATTAATAGTCCCAAAAATACAGAAATGTTGGAAGCATAAATCCCAAGGTCTTTTGCTCAGTAAGAAGCATGTAGAGATCATAAATATTAAATCCCCATTGTCAGGAATACCAGTGATAAGTTTATCTTTCTAGATGAGTGCTTTATCCATATTATGAGTGAGAGCCCAACGGGTTCCATCCATTGACAGAAGTTTACCCAGCTGGACGATACTCGGGTAGCTTTAGTTATTGTCTCCTCCAACATCGTGGAATTGCTGCTGATAACCAAGTGCCTTGACCAAGAAATACATCAAACTCCTATTCAGCAGGATGCCCTGAGAGATGAAAACTCACAAGAGAAGCAGAAGTCTTTACCTTATTCCTTTCTTGATTGCTTCTGTGGGGGCACATGATATTGTGTCGATGCAGTCAGTCCTTTGGTACTGTTTGTTGTCCAGGAACCAGCCTGAATCAGCCAGACCGCGAACTTGCACTCCATGGACTCCCAACTCTTCAAGCTGTTCAGCCACTCTGTCTACATTCAGGAGCACCCCTGTCCCACCAGCACTAGTCAGACAGACAAACACTCCAATTAACAACATTACAATTAAAGATGGATTTTAAAAAAAGACTTGCATTTGTGTAGGGTCTTTCATAACTTTAGGAGGCACTAAAGCATTTTGAAGCTCAATAGGTTACTTCTGAGGTGTAAGCACCTGTTGCAATGTAGGTACCACAGCAAGCAAAGCAAGATCCCATGCACAGTGATATGATAATAACCAGGTATTCTGATTGTTAGGTTGAAGGATAAATATTGACCAGGACAACCCTGCTCTTCTTTGAAAACATAGCATGAGATCTCTTACATCCTGAAGTAATCGACAGGGCTTAAGCTTAACTTTTTGTCCAAAACGCTTGAGAATGGTAATAATTCTTCCAACTTTCAATGGTTTTTATACTCAGGTAGGGAATACAATCTATTTGTGATATCCAAAAGCTTGTGATTTCAAATAAATCTGTTGGATTATAACCGTGGCATTATGTGACCTCTGACTTTGTCCACTCCTGTTGCAGCACCTCCACATCATGGCTATAAAATACACACATTCTCCACTATAACTTGCACTATATGTTGAATTGTAAAATACAAATCCATTGTTCACTCTTCTACAATCACTTCTAACACTGTGTGTGTTTACAGTTAACCAAAGATCAGCAGATGTACTGCTGGTTTGAGTCATGTTGTGTTTGCTGCAAGATTCATATATCTCAATATTTTTAATTCACATATATTTTTAATTTCACAAATGTGATAAGACATCCATCTGAAAATGCTATCTTCGATGATCACATCCTGCAAAGTGCAAAATATCATTTGAGTCATAAAATTGCACCTTCTGGGTAATAACAAGGACTTCCTTAGAGTGAAATGCTGTGGCATCCAGAGTCTAAACTATCTGAATAATTCAAAGTTCAATCTAAAGGGTGAGTGCCTTGAATTGGAAAACGGACATTCCTGACAGTGCTTCAGACAGCCTTGCTCCTCCGAGCCAATTCAAGATGTTGCTTGATCTGAAAAAGCTTCAATAACCCATTTGCTTCAATTGCCCATTCTGCACACCCACAGAAGGAAACATGCAGCTCAATGGCAGTAAATCTGAGCTGCTGCAGATTGTAATGACCGTAAAGAGGCAAAATAGAAAAATGTTCCAACTCAATTTTTTTAAAGAGGGATTATTGCTGCACTAAAGACGTGTACTACCCGTTCCTTTAGTGACATAGGACTGATTGGCAAAGTAAGGAGATCACGTGAGCTGTGAAGACGCTACATACACTGACCCCCTTCTATATTCTACCCTCCTCAAATTGTAGACCAGATCTTTAAATGGGTTCTATTAGGGGCTGGAATGTCAATGGTCAGGATACAAAGATGGGAGAGAGATGCTAAGCAGCTTCAAGCTTTATTTATTTGGTTTGTGTTTCTTCCACATCTGGAGAGTCATGGGACCCACAAGGAGGTAATTACGACCACATGGGTCATAAAAAAAAGGCAACAAAGACACAGAATCTTTGAAGCGCCTGTGTGAAAAATGTAACCTAGACTGATCAGCAATGAATGAGTCTGAGTAACCCTAAATTCAATCTGAATGCTGCCAGTTTCAAGGTTTGGTGAAAAGGGCAGATGTATGGCCGATAAAGTTGCAGAAAGAGAAGAGTGAAGTAATACATTTCGGTCTGAATGGAGGAATCAGGAGAGGCATTATAAAACAAAGAGTATAATTCGAAAGGAGTGAAGGGACTGTGGATGCATGTGCATAAATCATCATAGTGGCAGGGCAGGTTGAGAAGGTGGTAAAAAGGCATCTCCAGGATTCCTAAAATAAAATAAAAGTCATAAAATATAAAGCTAAGCAGTGTGATGTTATTTTATAAAGCTCTGATTTGGCCTTCAACTGGAATATAGCGTCCAATTCTAGGCAATGTGGCTTAGGAAGTGTATGAAGAATTGGAAGAGAATGCAGAAAAGTGGTTCCGAAGATGAGGGACTTCAGTTAACACAAATAACCTGGAGAATCTGGAATTCTTCACTTCAGAGAAGAGAAGGTCAAGATGTTTGACGAAAGTGGTATAGTGGTAGTGTCCCTACTTCTGACAGAGGAGGCCTGGCTTCATGTCCCACCTACTCTAGAGGTGTGTAATAACACCTCCAAACAGGTCAATTTGAAAATATCTAACAGATGACCTTGTGTTGCTGTGGGTAATGTCCCTATCTCTAGGCCAGCAGGTTCAGGTTTCACTCCCATCTCAGGATGTAATAGGTGTGGAGGTGCATCATTACATGTTTAAACAAATTGGTTTATTTCTTTAATATCAAATTAAGACAGTTCACGTTAAGATTGTATTATTATTTAGATCGCAGTGAGTTATTTAAATATTGCAACAGAGGACTAGCAGTCAGAAAGCACCAGCATAGCTAAGCTCCAGAATTTGTAACACTTAACCGAATCTGTGCTTCAAAATATCCCTAATTCAGTTAATTCAGTGTACACACCTCAGTCAGTTGGAAGATCTGCCCTAAAGGAAGTGCTTAATTTAACTCTTCAAAAAATCACCCAGTATTATTGCAGACTCTAGACTCTTCCCTTTAGACAATTAGTGGATTCTGCTAATGTCATAGTAATAGCTGAAATTGAAGGGTGGAGCAAGACTTGAAAGAAGCACCATCTTCACAGAGGAGGGATTGATTACATTTTTTGAACTTGCTACAAACAATATTTGAGATGATGACACAAAATGTGGCTGAATGCATGATGACAGCAACTGTGTGATGAGTCCCTGGAGCAGAAAGATGGAGATGGTTTTTCATTCACTCAGGATTTGTCCACATTGAGTTGAAGGGTGATAATGCACCTGTCAACTGCCTGAAATATCTCCATTCGTTAAATTCACATTCTTTAACAGGAAAACCAGAATTTGCTATTATAACAAGTCAGTTTACTTATTAATATTCTGAGTATAAGCAAGAGAGTTATATTGAAGATATCTTGTGTCTAAAGTGCGTTAATGTGCATAAGACAACACATATATTAAATAAAAGTTTGGTTTCTTTAAAGGAAATAAGGAACAACTATTGCAAATATAGTGGCAAAAATAATATAAAAATGCAAAGATTAACTTGCATTCATGTCACACTTTTCACAACCTCAGCCAGTAGCAAGTTATTTTATAGTAGATATATCATCTTACATTACAACAGCAACTGCACTTCAAAATGCAACTACACTTCATTTGCTGTAAAGTGCTTTGTGACATTCTCAGGTCATGGCAGGTGCTATATGATTGCAAACATTTCTTTAGTCGAAAGAAGTTGATGATTATTTATATAGATATTCATTCATAGTTATCAAACTCTATTCACATGAAAATGTATGATACAAATCACTTACTCACAACTCAGAAACTTAAACAATTGTCCAGGTCCAATGCCTGCAAAAATTGAGCCTCTTACTATGCAAAACATTCTTCATGTTACTAAAATAGATGAGCAGAACTGTGTCTTGGAACCAACAACAACCCATTGCTACTAATCATGTAAACTGTCTTGAACAACAGCCTGATGTTTCCCTCGGCAACATATGCAGAGCACAAGCCAGTAAAATGAGAAAGTCTGCAGTTTAAGCTTATGTTACAGCACATATTGCAATGACCTTGCCTTGGTCATCTTCATCTCCCTCTCACCTGTTTGCCTCTACAGCCCCATTGTTCAAGTTATTCCATTTTATTCTGAAATGCTCCAACTAAATCCCGTTTCTCTTCATCAAATGGCATCATGCTGTAAGACCTCACTCTAGGGAGTTCTTGATTGAATCATGTTGTCTTAATTCTTAGCAGGAAAATAATAGCAGCGCAGCAAACGAGGGGAAGAATAAGAACCAGCTGAGGTATATTCTCAGTAATTAAAGGACGTGCTTGAGTTTTGTAATGAAATGAATGATGACGGCTGTGCTCCAGTCGCCTTTCAAGAAATATCAAAACAGCTCTCCTGGCTCCTGTTCAATGTGTGTCTACCAGCTGTTGTGGGAAGCATTAGGTTGGAAATTCCAAGCGTAATTCTGTCATTTGATAGCATTATGTCACATGTCGCATACATTTGTGGAAGTGGCATCATAAACTCCAAGAAACTAGAAGCCTTATAAATTTCACACTTAATTATCAAACGCGAACCTTGAATTGTTATTTGATTCACGTCAACGAAGAAGTTAACATTTTTCCTTTTGAGAAGTTATTGTTGGCCTTCCTCAATGTCCATGTATATTAAAGCTTGGATCAATGAAATCAAGATTGACTACCCAATCCTTGCTTCCACTTATTATGGAGGTCACATTGGAGGATTTGCGCACATTAATTGTTGGCGCTTTTTAAGTGAAGGTATTCAAATTCATGTTTCTTAAGCTAGGGAGAATTGGACTTAGCAGTTTTGCATTAATGAAGAAAACATTCTCTGACATTTCAGAAGTCTTTGTATCTAATTGTGTTATAGTAATAACAGTGATTACGGCTCAGCCACATAAAACAATGTTTTCCCATGGAAAGGGTTACCCCACCATTAATAGCAATTCCACAATAAAAATAAATATAATCAAAGACTGGGTGGCACAGTGGGTAGCACAGTATCCTTTAATCTGTAGGACCTTGCTTTGAATCCAGCCCGCAATGTTGGGACAACATCCCCTCTTTCTAACAGTTGTTAAAGGTCTCAAAAGAGATTCAGAGGGTGTGCCGACATAACCTTCCTGCCTTGATGTTGTTTCAACTATTTTCACTAGCTCGCTGGTGTTTTACATATGGGGAAAACTGCAAACGCACAGCTCATTGGGTTTCCGAGTTATTAAATACAGCTCTCAATTTGAACTGAGCCATGCTAACTAGATTCTAGTTTCACTCCCTGCTTTGAGCTTGAAAACAACCAGAGCAGCTTGTAGAGGTAATAATATTGGTATCACATGTGTGCGTGGCCAAGAGGAAATTAAATCTCTAATACCCCCACATAATAGCTTGCCAATGCT